ACTGAAATTCATGAGTTAATGCACTGTTTTGAACTTAAAGTTCCAGTTTTCATTGGCACAGAGGTGGCTCTATTTTAATCCAGTTCATTTCAATTTGATTTAATTTCATCTTTATAGCCAAAACTTCCACTAACAGTCACCTCATGGGACTTTATATTGTAAGTTAAAGATACTTTAATAATACAGAAACTCTAACAATCAGACGACCACCCTGTGAGCAAGCGCTTTGGCAACAGTGGGAAAGAAAAACTCCCTTTTAACTTGGGGAAACCTCTAGCAGAAGCAGGCTCAGGGAGGTGCGGCTAATTTGAGTTGAGGGGAGAAGGACAGGACAAAAGACATGCTGCAGAAGAGAGCCAGAGATTAATAGTAACAAATGCTTAAATGCAGAGAGGTGTACAAACACATAGTAAATGAAGTAAGGAGATTGGAAAGAAAGTGAAAGGACTTCTTTGAGATTTTGAAGATGTTTGAGAAGAAGCTTCTCAGATGAGAGGGGAAACGTCTTCAAGAAACGCAAAGAGGTCCAGTCGCTTTTCTTTCTAAGCTCCTTAGATTACCATGACCTGGATGACTGAGATACTTCACAGACATATTGAGTGAAGAAGAAACAATGAGTGATCCATAGGAAAGTTTTAAGCCTAATCTTAAAAGTAGAGATAGTGTCTGTCTCCTGAATCCAAACTGGAAGCTGGTTCCACAGAAGAGGGGCCTGAAAACTGAAGGCTCTCCCTCCCATTCTACTTTTAAATATTCTAGGAACAACAAGTAGGCCTGCAGAGCGAGAGCGAAGTGCTCTAATAGGGTGATATGGTACAATGAGGTCTATAAGATGTGACACGGCATACCTTCTGTGACTAGACGAGGTTGGTATTTATGCAGTGGTATGTCACGGTATGGAAAAACAATCTCAGGTATGAGGAAATGAAAAAAAGAGGCCGCGAGAGTCAGATAAAAACCGAGTGTAGCAGGTAGAGTTTTTATTATCTATGTTCCTGGATCCTCATCTGCTGGTTATCTGTTCTTGAAAAAAGACCTTAAATCATTTTTGATTTAGGTTTGATTCTATGTCCAGCTGAGATCTGACTGGTCCTTAACCTTAGCTAAATAGAATAAAATAGAGGAGCTACTTTACTCATGCAGTCAGAACATACACCAACTGATGTATTGTGATGACGCAGTACTAAAACAATATAATAAATCTAAACAAGAAAAAAGAACCAAAGATATTTGCATTGTAAAAATGCTGTCTTTTAACTGTGCACATAAACATAACAGTAAAACTGTACTGGATCTTAGAAACAAATATATTGAAAGCAATAGATACACAGCAACAAAACCCCATTCCAGATGTGTTTCACTGCCCTAATACAACATGATTTAGGAGAGTCCAGAAACAGAGGCTGTTCAAAACATGAGGGAATCCTGTTTGGTATAAAATGAGTTTAATCTCACCTGCAGAGACGAGTAGGAGGCAGACAGACAGTAAAGTCCAGCAGAGAGACACAGACGCTACAGCAGGCATTTCACACAGATGACCTAGAATGATGTGAATATTTCCAGAGATAAAAACCTCAGTAAACTACAACTTATCAAATAAAGTGAAAGGAACTGAGAGTTTTACCAGGTGTATGCGGGTGGGTGGATGCCTTCAGCTGCTCTCTATGAATGGATTCTGAGAAAGGTGGAGTCAGAGTGATGGAAGTGTTTCAGAGCTGAGCCCTGAGATCCTGTTTTTCAGCTTCTTCCTGGTATGCAGAGATTCCCCTGCATTCTTTGAATCTTTGAGTGACAGTTGAAGACAGAAGCATGACAGGCCATCAGTTTTTCATTGTAACCCTTACAGCTCACCTGGCTGTGACTCTCAGCACTTCTCAGTTTGTTATAATCTGTTTCGTGAAAGTTTGAACTGTTCCTTAAAATGATCAAGAAGTGTTTCAGCAACATGAGCAGGAGTCAGGGCCGGATCCAGTGTTATGTTTGGGTGGGGAACTAGAAGTAAGAGCTGGGTGTGTTCCTTAATAAACAAAACCTGACCTAGAATAGAAGATTGGTGTGTCAAGATGTAGCAGCTGACTCATTACCTGCACATTTCTTGTTTACAACAGGAACACAGATACACACACAGGCTCATATTTACAACTCTGATTCATCAGAACAACGACAGAGTCACCACTGTACAGACATTTCTATTAAACATGCTGCTTTTTGCTGGGGTACTTTCACATTAAAAGCTCATTAATGAAGGAAGGTGTAAGATTTGTAATGTGAAAGTTCTGGAGTAAGTCCTGAGTGTTGGCACTATAGTCAGTGAACTCAGTGAAGTGAGTTTAGGAAAGCCTTTGTGTAATCCTGTCATTGTGTGTTATGTAAACTGCACAGAAACTGTGTGTGTCACTTAGAAACTAACCAACACAAACAAACTAAGATGGCAGATTTTTCAACCTTTAGCTAATTGCTTGATTTAAATTAATTACATGATCACGATCTAGTTTTATGTGACTAAAAAGTCATAATTTTGACTTTTATTTCATAAAAAAAGAAAGTAACCACTTGAACATGTTAGCTTAGATTTATAATTTCATTATATTTGACAGTTGCACTAATTCCAGTCATGTGGTGTAACAGGAAGCAGAGTAAAACTATGGCTATCAGTTTAGAGATCGCTGTTTGGATGTTTGTATTTTAAATGCCCCTCCTCCACGGAGATTCACTCAGTAGTTTAACATGAACACAGAGAGCTGAGATGATTCGGTGTCTGACAAACTTCAAAAACTCATCAGCTTGTGACTCAAACTGAGCCTGAAGATATTTTTTAAATCGTGTTTTCCTTTTTCCTGAGTCAGCACAAAGCCCACACACTCTGTAAACTCCCACTGAGGCTAGTGATGCAGATTCACATTTAAAGTCTTCCGCCATCTGTTGGTAATCTTGGTGTATTACAGCAGAGCGACATATTTCTGCTACAAGAAACATGAAAGTTATTTTAAAATATCCATCCATCCATTTTCAACCGCTTATCCGAGGCCGGGTCGCGGGGGCAGCAGCCTAAGCAAAGAGGCCCAGACCCAGTGACACTGATATGCATATTTTATTTTTATTGATCCTGATAATATTGTGCCACAAAGAATTTCTTTTTTCTTTTTCACCACTTAACATTTCATGGACAGATGGGAAAATACTAAACTTTAAAAATGGATACAGTCTTTTTTTAAATCAGAGTTTAACAACAATCAGGCAACTCAACCCCCCTCATCTTTTCTGATTTTTTTTTTACTAGTTTTTCATTTGGCTGGGGTCAGTGTCATTGCTGGTAGCACGAGTCTATACCTGGACCCTACACAGGTTGGCAGTTGGTTGTTGGTCAGTGATGGTCTGGCATATCCTGGATCCTGGGTTCCTCCTGGTGCACAATAATTCCCAGTGCTATGTGGCAAGAGTATGCAGGCAGTTCCTGAAGGCTGAAGAAATTGATGCCACTGACCGGTTCAAAATCCAATTGAACACCTCGGTGACATTAAATTTTCGGTCCACCTCAGATGGTCGAGGAGCTCAGTGATGCCTTATTCCAGGTCTCGGAGGAGACACCATCCATCATTAGCATGACCTGATGTTGTCAGGTAGACATACAAGCACATGGGAGCCATACAAACTGAGCACCAGTATGAGTTACTGAAAAATGGACCAGCCTTCCACATAATCCTTTCACCTTGATGTTTGATGTTTCTTTAAGTTCAGTCTACTAGATAAGTTTCATTTCCATGAAACTATGTGGCATCCCTTTTAACACGCTACCCACTCCATATCATATACCTGTCTAGCATGAGCTTGACGTCTGATCTATTTTTAAAGTGCTCCTTTAATTGTTTTAAGCAGTATTTTCATGCGGGAGTCCACAAAACAAGTTTGACAAAAAAAAACGGCAAAACACCTTTCTTTGTCTCTTACTCATCAACTGTAACCAGGCAGAAACAGATGTCAGATAAGATCCAGTAACTCTCTGATCTATCAGAACTGACCTAGTATGAGTGGTTCAGGTTCACCTCCCCAAATACTTACTTTTTTTTTTTTTTTTTACAGTGAACAGATTTTAATCCGACTGTGATGGAAATACTTGCATCATTTTTTTCTGCTTTAAACCTTGATCTCAAGATTGTAAACTGTAGGAATCTAAATAATGTCTAACTGCCTAAGTGCCAGAAAGGTAACAGAGGTAGATTTTATCATTGGTGGGTTTTTCTTTTTTTCAATTTTCTTTCTTTTTGTTTGTTTGTTTTATTTTCACTGCAACTGAAAAGTGCTGTCTTTGCCCCTTCATCCAGGCTCTTATCACAGGTTTTTTTTCTGTTCATGGTTTTGTGATCTGAAAGAAATGAGAGTAATAAATATATCACATGATATAATATATAAGTAATCCTAAATAAATAATTTTTTTACAATGAGTGACGAGTGTAGTTTTCATTGTGAGCCAGCATCTTCACAGACAGTCAAAAACCTCACAGCAGGACTTATGAAATCACACTCAACATTAGCACATGTTCACACTTTATTAATAATAAAATAACACAATCAATATAAACTGGGGAAAGGCACAAAAAAATGCATCAAAACTGATGAAGAAAGTTGATAAAACAGGTAACTTCACTACAGAAATGTTCTCATGATCTTCACAAACACAACTCTTTTCCTCCATAGAAAAACATTTAGGCGCTCCAAAGACATTTCCGTGTCCCCCAAAGGAAAACGATGAAAACTGTCATTTTAACTTATTATTATGATGGTTGATTTCTAACTATTTGCAGACTAGACGTATCCACTCCCAAACGCCACCAATCCGAACCAGAAAAACTCCAAAGATGGAAAAAACAAACTCAAGATAAGTTAGACATTTACAGCTGACTACTGTCTGCTGGATTCCCGTCACTGTGAACTCACATCTGTCTTGGAAGCATCTGTCTTTTTGCTATGAAAGGTGGGACGAGTGACACGAGTGGAGCGTTTCAGCTTGCTGCTCGTCTGGGAAGTGCTGTTTTTTCTCCTTCTGTATTTTCTATCATTTTTATGTAGTATATTATAGTTGCAAAAAGAGCAATAGAAAGCACAATAACAACTGTTAGTCCAACAGCCCCATCCTCTCCGTGTCCTCCTGGCTGACCTGCAGGTGAGAAATAGGTGTGAGGTGTCAGGTATACACAAGCTTCACCTCTGATCACAGGCAACATCTTTTTATGCATTTTGAGTTATCAGTTCACAGCCAAACAACTCTGACAATAACTGAATGTGTCCAAAGCCAAAATGAATTCCACTGACTTACCTGGTGAAATAACCTTTAGGTGGATGACGCTGATGGGCTCAGTCTTTAAAATGGCCAACTTTCTACCTTCTCTTACTTCATGGACGACACAACACTTATATGTTCCCCTATCAGCAGTCGTAACATCCTTCAGAATCAAAGACACGTCTCCATCCTTCATCTGTCTGTCCTGCAGATCCACCCGGTTCTTAAAAGATGGATGCTGGTAATATGGAACAAATTGTTTTTCCCAGTACCAAAGCACATATTGTGCCTTCAAGTCACGTCTGCTCCACTCTACACCTGGTATGAGGACAGTGTTTGGCGCTCGACATGTCAGAGTGACGTTCTGTCCAGACTCAGCTGTGATGTTTTTCTGGCCTGAAAGACAAAACAACACAGAGCAGAGAGGTTAAAGGTCTAACTGATCACTATAGCAGCCAAAAAAAAAAAATGTATCATGTTTATTTTTAACTAATTCTTCAACATGTAGCCCTTTACCAACTTTGTCTAAGTTACTGTGGCCATCTAAGAAGAACATATGTTTGTCCACTTATGTTCTACAGGCTGCAGCCAGTAGGAAATACAAGGCACAAAGATCCAAGCTTTGGACCTCTGCTACATGTTTAACTCAAAAAACTTCAGACATCAACAACCAGGAAGCAGCTTCAACTCTACTAATAAACTAAACTCTACCAACTCACTTGGAGGAACAACAGTCAGGTAGGTGGTGCTGATGGGGTCACTATCCAGACTGGCTCTCTTCCTGCGGTTCGCTCCTCTCTGGACCACGTAACACTCGTATGCTCCCGAGTCATCAGTCGTCACATCCTTCAGAATCAGAGACACGTCTCCATCCTTCATCTGTCTGTCCTGCAGATCCACCCGGTTCTTAAAAGACGGATGCTGCTCTTCTGTATCAAGCTTATCGTCCCGGTAAAAAAGGACATATTCTTGCTCCAGGTCAGCTCTGCTCCACTCTGCAGCTATGATGGGGTTGCCGCTGTTTGGAGCTCGACATGGCAGAGTGACCGTCTGTCCCGGCACAGCTATGATGATTTTCTGGTCTGAAAGAGGAAACAACAGAGTGGTTAAAGAGATGCAAGTAAAACCAGTCACTACACAGTTGGGAGCAACTGCGAGATAAGTGAGCTTTTTACTGTAAATTGCTTCAGACAAACACAAGGGGCACATTCATTTAAATACATTTCTCTTCAATCAGGCAACCAACTAATATAATTCCCTTACCCATGTTGATCAGCTAATGGGATAGTTTTAGATTTGAAATCAGCTTTTAATGTTGTGTCATATTTCAAATATCAAGTTTCAGAGGAGGTCTACTATGCACTGGTGCACAGCACTAAGTGGTCAACCATCCATTTCTGTGTTTGGGGTCACATCCATTGTATGTGGAAGAAGAGTGAAATGATGAGTCCAACAACTCTCTTTTTTATGTGAAAAGTGAGTGCTCACTGGGCCTGATCAAGAAGAAAAGTTGATGACCTCCATCCAAATGGCCTAGCTTTGCAAGGGAATCCTAATGAATCTCGCTTGCAAAGGTAGGCAGTAAAGCTCAGAACAGCAATTTATGCTTCACTCAAATGACTGATAATGGAGCATTAATCTGGAATCTTGCAGCGAAGTCTACTAAATTCAAGTTTTACATTTTTAAATATCTGTTCTAGCTACTAATGCTGTTTGAAATTCAATGACAGTGACACTTTTCTGTGAATAGTGAAAGGTAAGGTCATGCAGTTAGTTCAAAAATAAAGATCTTTTTTGTCCCAATGAGAAGCTTTTATGAAAGATTATTTTTTTGCCAACTGATTACTGCACCCATCCTTGTGCTAATGACAGACTGCTGTGCAAGAACTGATTCAACCTGACTCGTTATGCTTGAAAAACACAAACTTGTGCAGATAAGCAGATATCAGATGTGCTCTGATGTGAACTTTGACATGACCTGTAGGTATGAGGAAACGAAGCAGGTGTAGCAGGAGGAGAGGACAAGCTCGGGTAAACAGAGTGTTAATGCTGTTAAACGACTCAACTCTCCTCCTGGAAGAAAGCCACATTTCTTTGTGAATCACAGTGTTTGCTGAAACTGCTCTGGAGCAGGAACAGTCAGAATTAAGCTTTAACTCTTTAACTTTAGGCATATCTGGCAGGTCATACAGTTAAACACACTTTTTTAAACCATGAACAGAAGTCTTTAAGAGGTATTATTTTATCAATCAGAAATTCAATCTCACCTGCAGAGACAAACAAGAGGCAGACAGACAGTAAAGTCAGGCAGAGAGATGCAGACGTTACAGCAGACATTGCTTCTTCATTTAAAGTGCGATAAATGTCCAAAAGATGGTGGTATTTTTCAAGAATCACAGAATCCCTGAGTTTAAAATCTGATAAAGGAAGCTGAAAGTCTGTGAGTGTGATAGCAGGTATCTATGTTGTTTTTGTCATGGCCATCTGCTGTTTCTACCTCCTCATTTCTGCCTCTGTTTCTCTCTGCAGGTGAAGAAGAGATTGAGGTTGTCTGGTTCCCTTGTTTGGCCCTGCCCAGAGGCGGAGTCTCTCCTGTTGACCTTGTTACCTGTTTGCCTTAAATTCTTTACTGCAGCGGATTTAAAGACCAGCTTTCGCCTTGTGTCCCCCTCTAGTACTTTGGCATTGCAATGGATACTTCTCCTCTTTCACTTCTACACTAAGAGAAAAAATAGTGATAACCATGTTGAGTTTTATCCCTCCTGATTAATTTTTCTGTGGTTTTACTTTTGCCAGTGTCCTCCATTATCCAGCATGGCATGCCGTTTTCCCTTTTTCATCAGCTTTTGACCTTTATGTCCTTGCGTACTGGAAAATGCATCGAAGGACCAATTTAAAATGTGGCATATTTAAGTTTCTGAAACTCTTCTTTAGCGTGTGAGTAAAATGTAACCATAATACAAAGTAGGTTGATGTTGCCTGCTTGATGTTTGGCTGTTAAACTGCTGTCATTTATAAAGCAGCTGCTCTGCTGTAAAACTTAGATTAACCAGCAGATGGCAGCAGAATTTAAAAGTTATTAGTAATTCCAAAGTTCAATGGTGAGCGGTTTGACAGGAGATTGGTGGTTCAGGAGATGTGGTCGAAAAATAAGTCGGTTCTGATTCACATGAATTCACAAATTTAGTCTGGTGTGGTTTGATGTTTATTTAAGTTTCCGTTTTAAATCTTTTTAGACTCACAGAATCACACGAGGAAAACACGCAAGACGAACACTCAAAGCACTTTCGCTTTCTATTGCAAGTCTCATTCACACATACATTATTGCAAGGATAAATATTGTAATATTCACAGACACACTCATATGCATGCATTGGGGGAAGCTCAAAGTTCAGTATCCTGCCCAAGAATCACCTGACAAACTACCAATCAAATTACCATCTGAACCACAGTCACCAGAACATTTTAACATTTACTGTTCACATTTTAAATTTTAGAGAAAATTCACATAAAAGATAAGATAAAATAATGTATACAAGTTAAATAAAAACATATTAAAAATATATATTGTTAACTTGTGGATCTCTGGTTTGAAGTGCTGGGGAGACCAACTAGAGACCAGCAGCGGGACGTCAATGGTTGTACTGGTGGACTACTTCAGTGAAGAGTAGACAACGTCTGGCTCTGGTTTAAAGTCTGAACACAAACACACACAGTTCAAACAACAGAAAACATGATTAAAAGCTTTGTAGTTCAATCAAGACCTCGTTTGCTCTCTTATTTACACTCTTACTTACATTATTTACAATCTCCACCTCTCTGCATCACACACAGTCCCAGTTCAGACTGAGCTCGAGATATGATGCAATTATATTAGCTTAGCTTAGCATGATGGTGAGCAGGGGGAGCAGCTAGCTTGTTTAAAGTTAAAGTTAAAGAGCGGCTGTACCTGGTCCTCCTGGCTCTGATGGCTGTTCGTCCATTACTCATATCTTGAGTTTTCACTGCGGAGTAGACTGCAGCTGAGTAACTCTCTGCAAAATAAAAAACCTTTGACATTGTACAAAATCGGTATGACTTTCATATTATTGCAAAGGTTGTTTTTATTCATAATGTTGCACAGTGTAGAGATTGAGCTTCACACGCTTTTCTTATCTTAACATCTCTGCTATGAAACTGACCACATAAATCTGAAGGATGTTTCTGTGAAAGAGAAAAGAGGACAACCACAAAGCTGCAAACATCTGCTTTTAGTGCACACTGATGCACTTCACCACAGAGCAAAGACCTTCACAACATCAACACTATTACTGGCCAAACCAAGAGACACTGTGTTGAGAGGCTTCACTATCTTCAGACTACTGTAAACTAGAATCATCAGCAGGATGACTGTATCTGGTCAACATGCCATAAAGAACAAGATAATTATAAACTTTATTATAGCCAGATTCTGATTTTCATTTTCAAGAATTAGAAAGACTGGATTTAAAATGTTAGCATCATAAAATGTCAGCATCATAAAACTATAAAAAGACGTCCTTGATGAAATTATTCACTTTGAATTCATGATGGTCTGTGAGCAGAGTTTAAATATATCATTTTCCAGATGACGTCTCCATGTTCCTTCCCGTTTTTAAAATGAACAGCCCTGTGCTGAAACACCTGCAGCTGAAGTGTTTTCTTTCTATCAGAAACAGGATGCTGGACGACTGCAGAGATGTTAGCTTCAGTTAACCACAGACCACAAACACACAGTCCAGCTCACAGTGAACAACAGTAAGTACAGTGTGAGACTTTAGTCAAAGGAGCTTGCAAAGAAAAGCGTCTGGACTTCTTTAAGTTGCTTGCCCAGGATGTCAGTGGGCCATCCTGGGCCATCTGACCTCAGGAATTTGCATGATAAGGTGGGACAGGTTTCACAATGACCCGAAACTCTGGCTGATTGGGACCCACACCCAGTTTCACACCTTGGCTCAGGCGATTAGAGGATGTGAGACTTTACAGACAGACGGTTATATTTGACAAAACTGATCAAATTTTACATAAAGAAATAAAATTCATTTATAATCTATAAACATAAACGATTTATTGTGAAAGCATCAAATCATAAAAATCTTTATTTTACTGTTCAACAATCCACAATTTTACACAAACTGAAATAAAAAAATACATGATCACACATAATCCAGAATGTCCTCTTAACCCAACACATCATAATGACAGGCAAGTGTTCATGAACCTATATCTGATTTTATTTTCATATTAAACTAACTTTTAGATTTAAATCTGAGGAGGAAAATGTTTGCTTACACACATTGTTACATGTTTGCAGTTCCCTGACTATCTTCACTCCTACTTTCAATACATTATCTCAGATTGTAAGGCTGCATTAAAGCCTTTCTAAAAGCAAATCTAACCACTCGGTGTCCTGCCTGGCAACGCCTCTAAACAGATATTTGGGAAGTTTTATTGAAATCTACGGCAAATAGATAGAAAATGTCATTTAAGCTGTGAAGTCTGCACATGAAAGAATGTGTGTGAAAAATCAAAAGATAAAATCTGCGTAAAAATTTGTTATGATGAAAAAAAGAGCCCACTACCTTGGATTTCTCTGATTGGCTCTTGTTGATTTTTTGATATGTTGATTATACTGCACATGATGTCAGTGATGACTTCATCTTCTCCAGCTTTGTCTTGTTCTGCTAAGATGATCCATTAGATTAACTATCTAAACAGAGATTACATGTTAGAACGTTTGACTGTGATCATAGTGAATGTGAAATTTATTCTACTGAACAAACTCAGACATGAAAGATCAGGAAGTCTGAGTCTCACCTTCAGGTTTCCTGTGAACACATCGCCTCATCAGCAGAACCAGTAACACCAGTAGAACCCCAACACACACTGATCCAACACATGACAACACAGAGAGAGCAGGAGGAGAGAGTGATGGAGGAGAGGTGGATGTAGGTGGAGGTGTGGTGGTGTGTTTGTCTAAAATAAAGCAAACACAGTCATGAAGTTGTCGTCACATTGTGAATGTTGAAAGCTGCAGAAACACAGACAGGTGAGTGTGTCACCTGTGACAGTGATCCAGCTGGATGGAGACTCTCCATGACTGCTGATGTCACACTTGTAGAGGCCTTCATCAGACCTGGAAACATGCTGGATGGTCATGTGACCTGTAGGCTGCTTCCTGATGAGGGAGCCATCTTTATAGAAAGCAGCTGGGAGGTTGGAGGGAGTGGTCTTTGTTTTACAGAGCAGAGTGACGTCATCTCCCTCCATCACAGGGAGGACAGGACTCTGCAGGATCACTGATCCACCTCAACACAGAGACAAACTACAGCATTTCATCCATTTACACACAGCTTCATCAACACTAACTCCACACACTCAGCTTACCAGTGACTGTCAGGTTAACCATGTTACTGATGGGACCCTCTCTGGACTCACACCAGTAAATTCCACTTTCTAATGAGTAGATGTGACTGATGTTACAGGAAGAACCAGCTGGTGTTCCCCATTCCTCACACTCAGCTCTGTTGTCTGTTGCTGTGTTTCTCCTCAGAGTCCATCCAGCAGAGCTGTCGTCCTCCTCACAGCTCAGAGACACAAAATCTCTTTCAAAGAACTGAGAGCTGCTGGGACTCACAGTCAGACGAGCTGCGAGGGTTAAAGTGAAAAACGATTAGATTTTATTTTTTTCTTCAGTTTTATATGTGAGCTCCATTGTGGAACATGAACCCAATCAGGTCATATCAGTGAGCATTTCTCAGGTTTAAACTGTGACAGAAGAAGGTTACTGACCTTGGTTTGTTGTGCAGCTCAGCAATGAGATCAGAACTAAAGAGAAATGAAACTCAGGTTGATTTGAGGTGAACATAAAGAACAACTCCACACAAACAGCTGACAAACACAGATAATACACTCTTCTGGGTCTAGGGGTCTTAAAAAAACTAAACGTAGAATCTATCTTGACTAGTTCAAACAGAATGAACTCTGGAACCAATTCAAATAACACATGTCCTGGCACTTTGTCTCTAAATTTGGGCCAATTGTTTAGAAAGATTTGTGTCACATTCAGACCTAAAATCAGCAGTTAACCAAACATCACAACTGACTCGAACCACTGCACCACTGTGACGTGTGTACTGTTAGATGATTTAAAAAATAAGTTCTCACCACTTTTTCAGCAAATGTGCTGTTGTGCCACTTTAGAATATAATTTACAGATCTTTATATATTGTTTTTGTTAATAATTGAATAGAACAAAAAGTTTTGTTGGTGAATTTGATTTGATTGTTAAACACTCAAAGCAGTTCACACAGGTCGGCCTAATTATGTTGACCCTAAGATTATATTTTAAAAAACAACACTTAAAGTTATTGTTTTGATAGTGTGCATTGAATGTTCTAAGTATATATAAACACTACTTTTACACAGTAAAGTCATGTGTCCACTGTGCAGCTGTGTTGATATAATGAGTGAATGATTTGATCTTTTCACTGCCTGCTGTGTTTCCTCGACTCCTGAGCAAAGATAAAGAGTCAGTTCAGACCTGCAGTTGGTCCTCGTGGTGTTTTGAACTTGAATTCAGCCTGATTTGTTTTTCATGTCTTCTCCTCCATCATCAGTTATCAGGAGAGCAGACAGTCAAAGTACAAGAATTCAAACAAACACAGAGATTCTACTTACAGAGCAGACACAGCACAGATGTTTCCTTCATCGTCCTTCTCACTCATTTGAGCTTTTTTTCATTTCTGTCACCGACACCAAGTAAAGCCCGCCCTCTTCCTCTGAGTCTGTGTTTTTTCTGTTGGTACAAAGGCAGTGGTGGGTAACTCGCTTTTTTACTTGTGTACAGATGCCTATGCTAAATTATATTAAAATATAAATTCAATGTCAGTGTCAAAGATTCCCTCAGTCTGGTGTTGATGAGCTGTGATTTCGTTAATGAACAAATTCAAATAACCGTTAAGTGGTTCATTCAATTTTATAATGTGTTAGTGGTTAAAGCTTTCTTTTGGGTGTCATGTTTTTAGTATTTTTGGTTGTGAAGCACTTTTTAATATTTCCCTTTAAAGGGACTGTATAAATAAAATCTTGCTTACCTCACTGATGAGTATGATGTGAAACACAGGAATCGAACGAGGGACGCTGCTGTTATGGAGCTGAACTGGAACCATTCAGACACTGAGGCCCTCTGAACACATTTTAATTACAGCTGTGCAGAGACACACTGATGACTGACTGGAACACTATGATTCACAGATTGTTGAAATGCTACCCTTCAATGTTGCCACTTGAGCGAGATATTTGACTTTAAATCTTGACATGGATACAAGCAGATCATCAGTGAGAGTCACTTAATATTAAAATTAGTACCATCCATTCGCTTCCGCTTATCCTTTCCAGGGTCGCGGGGGCGCTGGAGCCTATCCCAGCTGTCATAGGGCGAGAGGCGGGGTACACCCTGGACAGGTCGCCAGTCTGTCGCAGAGCCAACACACAGGGACAGACAACCATTCACACCCACATTCATTCGCACATTCACTCCTAGTGGCAATTTGGATTATCCACTTAACCTATCCCCACAAGCTGCATGTCTTTGGACGGTGGGAGGAAGCCGGAGTACCCGGAGGGAACCCACGCAAACACGGGGAGAACATGCAAACTCCACACAGAAAGACCCCGGCCTGATGTTGGAATTGAACTCAGGACCTTCTTGCTGTGCGGCAACAGTGCTAACCACCGTGCCACCGTGTTAAATTAGTACCATCAGCATTAATCTTATTAAAAGGACGTTAATATCATAACCGTATTAACGCAGCAAATCTCAGTTAGCTAGCTATCGCGGATCGCCCTGCGCGTGGGGCTTGTTGTATTACCTCTTTATTTCCCTTTAACTTATCTCATAATTGTAAGGTAAATAGATTTGTGGGTTAAATAGAAGAGTTGAGTATGTGGGTTGAAACCATCACAAATTGTCAAATTTTCTCTGGCACAATGTATTGTTACAATCAAAATATAACTGATCAAACACAAATTTCCTTATTCTTTGTGACTTTTTAGGAGTTTATATGTCTATAGTGGTCCTGAAACAGGCTGTGGGCAGTCTTTGTTTAAGGGCTTCCTCATCAGGTTGTAATAAATGTTTTTTGGAAATATTTTAATAACTCACATATCCTTGCATTGATATGTTGGTAACACCGAGATTTATACCTCCAGATGAGTCCAGGTGACCTTATAACCCAGGCTTCTGTTTAAACATCCTCACTGTTCTTAAATGTTGGACATCATGACATTTTCATGGCTCAGTGCTTTAAAATAAGAGAACCTGTTGTTCGGTCCCATGATCATCTGACTCATCATTTGACTCTTTGTACACAAAGGTTTAGCCTGATGGCATCTCTGTTCAGTTTGCCCTTTGCTTTGAACTTTACACATATAAAAATCACACAGTCTCATCCTTTACAGATGGCTTTAGTTGGATTCTCAATTTCAATCATCTTTTGCATAAGACCTGTTTCCACAGAGTTTCAGTTCTTTTGTAATTTGGCGTATCGCAGTGTCAAAGAGATTTAGATCCCTAATTGCATTTTATGTATACTGGTATATCATAGTACGCCAAAGCTGGAAGAGAAGAAAATTTGTAACTATTGGAAGGATATTTAAATTCATGACTGCACTTTCAGACTAAAGATATGAACATTAATACCTATGTTTTATCGTCTTTCAAAGAGTAATATTTCTACATTATCGAAGCAAGAAGAAACAATATAGAGCAACATCATTACATGAGTTTGTGATGCAGTTTTTGCAACATTAAGCCTACAAAGTTCTGGGTTCTAACTTCCTTCAGCTGCTATTATGGGATTGTGTGTTCTCCCACAGTTTAAAAAGATATGCTGTGTGGAAATTAACTGAAAATCTTCCACAGTTTTTACATGAAAAGCTGACATCAATAACACTGTATTATTCATATTAATGTTTTCAACTGGTGGATGTTAAGAGGTTATATTGCTGGCATTTACAAAGCAGCTGCCCTGCTGTAATGCTCAGTGTTGCCAGTAGGTAGAAGCAGACTTCAACTCTGAGTCATGTCCCTTTGTAAATTCACTGAGAAGTTTGAAAGGAGGAGCTCTGTGCTGTGATCCAGAATGAAGTCCAGCCTGGGTCATAAGTTTGAAGGTTTTCATACAAAACACTACTTTGTCTTCATGGTGAAGTCCTGAGTGTGGTACTACATATTTCCATGGAAGATATATGTAAATGCTACCAAATACATTTCTGTATATCCAATCCCTAATCCAAATAAACAGAGTAAAGGGAAAATTTAACTACTTTTGGAAGTTTGTTTTACAGCTACTGAATTCAGTTCCTGCTGTTTTATGTATGTAGCTACAGTTTAACTCATTTTGGGATTCATTTATTTTTCACAATAAACACAAGTGTGTATCAGCCAGAACCAAACCAGCCAAACTTTCAATTTGACTTTCTTTATTAAACCCAAAGAACTACTCAAGGAAAATATCCGACACAATGTAGAGCACTATGTCTGGATAACACCAAATGCAGGATGTCATCACAAATACATCATACTGTACTGTCCGCAGTGGTGGAGGGGCGATGATTTTTGGCTTGTTTTGCAGTGACGGGAACGGGCCACCTGAAAGTAATTGAGGCTATCACAAACTTCTCTGTATATTAATATACTCTAGACTAGAGTCATAAATGAGCATCGGCGTCTAGACTTCAACCTGAATGATGCTGTGGTGGGCATAAATTAATGGGTGCAAACCTCACTACATAAACTGATATAGATAGATAGATAGATAGATAGATAGATAGATAGATAGATAGATAGATAGATAGATAGATAGATAGATAGATAGATAGATAGATAGAAGAGCTCTATTAGACACACTGAATGACTACAATGTCTTTCTTGCTGCTGTTACAACCAAATTTCCCTTTGTGGGACAATCAAAGGATTATTCTATTCTATTCCATTGTATTCTATTCTACTCTGTTCTATTCTATTCTACAAAAGCATAAAGAATAAAAATATTTTTTTACGTGTGGTGGGGCCCAGTTAGAGACCAGCAGCTGGACGTCAGTGGCTGGACTGGTTGACAACTTCAGTGAAGAGTAGACAACGTCTGGCTCTGGTTTAAAGTCTGAACACAAACACATACAGTTAAAAAAAACAAAAAAAACCCAACAGGAAACATGATTACAAGCTTTGTAGTTCAATCAAGACCTTGATGCCTCTCTTATTTACATTTGCATTTGAAGTGTGAACTGGGTCAGAGCTCTGAGCTTCAATCGTGTGTTGTTCTTTTTTTTCTTTAGCTTAGCTAAGCATTATTGCTGGAAACAGGGTGAGCAGCTAGCTTGTCCCTGTCCAACGTTAAAGTTAAAGAGAAGTCGTACCTGGCCCTTCTTGTTCTGATAGTTTTTTGTCCATAACTGTCATTTTTAGTTTTCACTGCTGAGTAGACTGCATCTGAATCCGTCTCTGCAGAAGTAAACAATCAGAATTATGTGAAATTACAACAGGTATAACAACTGCACAACTTTTATACTATAGCAGAGCTGTGGGAAACTTTCTACCCTAACGTTGCATCATGAAGAGAATAAGCGACAACTTAAAAAAAAACCACAGCAGCATTTCATACTTTTTTTTTTTATCTTAATGCCACTGCTATGAAAAAAAAAAGATTGGCCACATGAAGCTGAGGGGTGTTTCTGTGAAAAAGAAAAGCGGACGACCACAAAGCTGCTACTGCTCTCAGTACAGATTGACTTGCTTCACCTCAGCACAAAGCAAACACTTTCTCACAGTATAACCATTATTACTGTCCAAACTAGGACAAACTGCAGTGAGAAGCAGCTTCAGACTATAGTTAACTGGAATCATCAACATGATTAATGCATGTGCTCAACGTGTCAGGATGGTACAGAAACGACTAAATTATCAACGTTATAGACGTCAGATTCGTTATAGAGACTGGGAAATGCTTTTAAATTAATTTTAAAATGAACAGTCCTGTGTTGAAACACCTGCAGCTGAAGTGTTTTCTTTCTATCAGAAACAGGATGCTGGACGACTGCAGAGCTGTTAGCTTCAGTTAACCACAGACCACAAACACACAGTCCAGCTCACAGTGAACAACACTCACAGTGTGACACTTAAGGCAATTAGACCTGACTAAGCTGACCTATTTTCAGACAAAGGAAACAAGTTCATAACTACACTTAGCAAGTTTTGTTTGCTTGTTTTACTGTTACAACAGTCCACATTTTTAAACTTCTGAACTACCCTCATATGTCCCATCATTAAAAAGTCAGCAACAGTGCTAATCTTATTCTACCTTCATATTCAACTGTATGCCTGACACATTTGAAGAGGAAAAAAATCAGAGATGTTATTCATCGTCCAAACTATGATCAAAACACACATTCTCAAACATTTCCAGTTCCTTAACTATCTTCGCTCCTACTTTCCATAAATTTGTTCACATTATAAAGCTACATGAAAGTCCTTCTAAAAGGAAATCTACCCACTCAGTGGCCTTTCTGGGAATGCCTCCTAACAGATATTTGGGCAGTTTTATTAAAATCTATGACCAAATAGATAGGAAATGCCATTTAAGCCACAAGGTCACCAGCATGTGAGAAACTGTGTGTGTAAAATCACAAGTCGAATCTGATGAAACCTGCTTAAAAACTTCCTATATTGGAAGACGAGCCCACTACCTCGGATTTCTCTGATTGGCGCTTGTTGATTTTTTGATATGTTGATTATACTGCACATGATGTCAGTAAGGATGTCATCTTCTCCAGTTTTTTCTTGATCTGCTGAAATGATGCAAAATGATCAATAATATAAATTAAAATATGTAAACAGAGATTGCATTTAAGAAAGTTGTTACTGTGATCATCATGAATGCGAACTTTATTCTACCAAACAAACTCAGACATGGAAAATCAGAAAGTCTCACCTTCAGGTTTCCTGTGAACACATCGTTTCACCAGCAGAACCAATAACACCAGTAGAACCACAACACACACTGATCCAACAGATGGCAACACAAAGAGAACAGGAGGAGAGAGTGATTGAGGAGGTGTGGATGTAGGTGGAGGTGTGGTGGTGTGTTTGTCTAAAATAAAGCAAACACAGTCATGAATTGTCGTCACATTGTGAATGTTGAAAGCTGCAGAAACACAGACAGGTGAGTGTGTCACCTGTGACAGTGATCCAGCTGGATGGAGACTCTCCATGACCGCTGATGTCACACTTGTAGAGGCCTTCATCAGACCTGGAAACATGCTGGATGGTCATGTGACCTGTAGGCTGCTTCCTGATGAGGGAGCCATCTTTATAGAAAGCAGCTGGGAGGTTGGAGGGAGTGGTCTTTGTTTTACAGAGCAGAGTGACGTCATCTCCCTCCATCACAGGGAGGACAGGACTCTGCAGGATCACTGATCCACCTCAACACAGAGACAAACTACAGCATTTCATCCATTTACACACAGCTTCATCAACACTAACTCCACACACTCAGCTTACCAGTGACTGTGATAGAGATCATCTTGTTATTTGCTTTATTTTTGGATTCACACCAGTAAAGTCCACTGTCAGATGTTGAAATGGAGCTGATGTTACAGGAAGAACCAGCTGGTGTTCCCCATTCCGTTCCACAAAGAGTGATCATAGTTGTTGTTGTGCTTCTTTTCACAGTCCATCCAGCAGAGCTGTCCTCCTCCTCACAGCTCAGAGACACAAAATCTCCTTTAAAAAACTGAGAGCTGCCGGGACTCACAGTCAGATGAGCTGTGAGGGTTAAAATAACAAAACAAACAAACAAACAAACAAACAAAAAAACTGATATATTTGTGTTAGAACTGCAAAGATGATCCCAGTCAGGTCATATCAGTGAGCATTTCTCAGGTTTAAACTGTGACAGAAGAAGGTTACTGACCTTGGTTTGTTGTGCAGCTCAGCACTGAGATCAGAACTAAAGAGAAATGACACTCAGGTTGATTTGAGGTGAACATAAAGAACAACTCCACACAAACAGCTGACACACACACAAACTCTTATCTCCGATATATGTGCTCATTTTCAGCTAAAGCTAAAAAAATCCAAAACAAAACAAAAAGGAAAGACAGCAGATCAATTTGGACTTCATGCACTTCTACTCTAATATGTATCTCAAAAAACAGCTTAGTACAATCTACAGGGTGGGCCATTTATATGGATACACCGTAACATGGGAATGGTTGGTGATATTAAAGTCCTGTTTGTGGCACATTAGTATATGTGAGGGGACAAACTCCTCAAGATGGGTGGTGACTATGGTGGCCATTTAGAAGTCGGCCATCTTGGATACAACTTTTGTTTTTTCAATAGGAAGAGGGCCATGTGACACATCAAACTTATTGGTAATGTCACGTCACATTCTGGGTGGTAACCTGCATGTGCGGCCATATTGGAGGCACTCGGAGGTAAACACTGCAATGGATCAATGTCCGAAACCACAGAAAAGCTCCTCAAAATGCGTTATAGATGCAAAGGTATACAGGGAAGGACTTGGTCCACAGGTAAGGGCACGATATTTGGAAAAGTTAGGTTTTATTGGTGTGCAGATCCAAATGAGTTGGCTCCTTCATCTTGGATCAATGACGAGCTGGAGAGTTTTCCGTCTATTGCGTATCTTGATATCAACTACCTGGTTTTCTTGCCCAGAAGACAGCAGACCTTAAATCTTATAAAAGTTTGGAGGCCTATAACCAGATGGTGTGTGGATGGGTGAGGGAGATGCAGTATCAAGTCATCAGCGACAGATGTGTTGTGAATGCCAAAGTAAGTAACGCAATAACATCTTTAATCAGCCAAACCTTAACTGTATGATATCATCCCTTACCAAAAAGTAGCATACTTCGAGTATATTTTATTAAGTATGCTTAACTATAGGAAAGAAATGAGTGGAACAAATTCAGATGTTGTCCAGATTTTTGCCTGGTTTAGCTTCGCTAATCACAACCGCCTCTTTTCCTCTGATAACTTTCGGCATTATTCTCCATGATTTGTAATAACTTTTGGCTGTCTATAAAACTGCACATATTTTTCACGGTCTAACCGATTGGTACAGCCAAGAACACGGCAATAATTCACCATTTCCTTTCGTTCGACGTTTGGAATCTGTTTGAGTGCACGCGCTTTGTTTACCTCCAGTAGCTCCAATATGGCGACTTCCGGTTTGATGACACACCATGAAAACGCACTATCCGGTTGTTCAGTCTGACGTCACTAGCCGTGTCTGGGTCTAAACTCCGCTGCAGGTCCATATATCAAACGATCACTATGGCATTACTGAGAGTTGAAAAACTGTCTAAAGTCTTTCATCTTTAATAAAATGATCAGTGTTCTGCTCTACCAGGTGTAACAATTGAGTTTAACATCCAGGCATCCATGAAAACGGAATTTATGACATTTAACGGAGTTAGAAGTTAGCAGGGAGTTAGCTCGCTAGCTTCTATCTAAATACAATATAGCATGTCCTGACTGCGGGGTTTTGGAAACAAATTAAAACATACAGCTCTGCTATCACTTCCAGTATGAATGAAGACAGAAAACTAAACAGCAGTGACGTTTGTAGGGTTACTGAAGTTGGGCTAGCTGGTATATAATGATGTGCTACGTGACCGCTAGCGACACAGCTATGTTAGCATAATATAAACAAGCTAACTTTTTTTCCACTCGATAAAAGTTAACGTGAGTGTTCTCGGTGGTCAGAAACAAATGTAATCGCATGGCAGGATGCTGTAAAAGGACCAAACTTCAGCCAGGAGAACAACTGAGATAATCCATCCACAATACGAGGTTAGTCATTCATATACTGCTGCATGGGCTGGGCTGTAGTTACATCCTAAGGTTTTAAAAACTGAGCTTAAATAAATGATTAGCGGTAATAAAAGCCGAGGGAGGTCAGCAGTGATCACTGACTGTTTTAGGAGCTTTTTGAGATCAAATAGAAGAAAATACATAACATTAAACATGTTAACAACACAAAAGCCATATTAAATGCAGACTACTTTAGACCCGGAAGTAGGATTCGTTGCGTCATCACTGAACAACCGGATAGCTGTTGACCGCTATTAAAGGTAAAGGCTAAGTTTTCACCCACTAGAGGGTGCTAACGTACCTCGTCATGTTTAGGCAGCGGTGCAATAATTTACAAGTTCCACTGTTAAATGTTATGTAAGTTCAAGATAATTAATTTGTGATTAATGAATAAGGCAAAGGTGTGTTAAAGGTAACACACTGATTTACTAATGGTCTTACGGGGTGTTCACATACACAGCTGTTTAATAAAAGTATTGTGAACCATAAGTTTGATAGACCATCTTTTCAACCGGGGATGCTACACACGTATCTAAACAGCATCTCCTAAAAATGATCATTGAAATAATAAACATTTGACTAAACTTTTAGTATATGCAAAACATCCATTACTTTTAAATAACCCTGTAAAGTCATGTGTCCACTGTGCAGCTGTGTTGATATAATGAGTGAATGATTTGATCTTTTCACTGCCTGCTGTGTTTCCTCGACTCCTGAGCCAAGATAAAGAGTCAGTTCAGACCTGCAGTTGGTCCTCGTGGTGTTTTGAACTTGAATTCAGCCTGATTTGTTTTTCATGTCTTTTCCTCCATCATCAGTTATCAGGAGAGCAGACAGTCAAAGTACAAGAATTCAAACAAACACAGAGATTCTACTTACAGAGCAGACACAGCACAGATGTTTCCTTCATCGTCCTTCTCACTCATTTGAGCTTTTTTTCATTTCTGTCACTGACACCAAGTAAACCCCGCCCTCTTCCTCTGAGCACCTGCTTTTCTACTGGTTCAAATACAGTGGATAATTAAATTCTTATAAAAATGCAAGATACAAACTATAAACGTGTATATTTTAATGCAATGAGCTTCCTGAGACATCTGGCAATTCACACAGATGGAAAGAAAACTCAAGTCAAATGTCCTCCGCTCTCAGTGATCTGTAGTTTGGTTGATGAACAAATCCATGTCCATGTAGTTACGTCCCCCTCAGTGAGAGAGGCAGATATGATGTGAAACACAGGAATCAAACCAGGGACGCTGCTGTTATGGAGCTGAACTGGAACCATTCAGACACTGAGGCCATCTGAACACATTTTAATTACAGCTGTGCAGAGACACACTGATGACTGACTGGAACACTATGATTCACATTTTACATTAACACCATCCTCACACGTGGTTCATATATGGCCACTAGGGGGAGATATTGGACTTTAAACACTAACATGGATACAAGCAGATCATTAATGCTTCCATACTCAAAAATACATTTTAACAGCGACGGTCCACAATATCAGATGAGTTTGTACAAGTGACATGATAACCTCCAGAGAAGCTGAATGATTTAATGTGGTAATTATGTTACCATAATTACCATTACCACATTAAATTATCATTTAATGTGATAATGGTTTAATTTGTAAACATGACTAAATTGGCATGTTTTTGATTATTTCTCATTTCTAATATTTTTAAGTGGCAAGGATGTACCTGTCAGTGATGTTTGTTTTCTCAAGACTGATTAAAATTCAGATTATTCTATTTCAGTTTTTCTTTAGTTATGATTTTATTTTATTTTTTTAATTCTAAGCACCAAACACTGTAAACAAATTAGAGTAAAAAAATAAGAACATTAAAAAGCATAAAATAATACAAAAAAACATTTAAGATATAGACTGAATTACAATGAGCACAAGTATCACCATCATCTTTTTTAATAAAGTCTTTAAAGCAACCACAGCTGGCGCAAAGTGCCGTGGATCGGAACTAAATAATAAAAATAACATTTGATTTAATTGAAAGCAAATAAAAGAAAAATAAAATAATTAATTAAATAACACATTTAAATACAAGAGACACTAAGTCTCACTGTGGTCAAAAGCTAAAGGCGTGTTTTAATAGTGGACAGAGATGGGACCTCTCTAAATTCAGGAGCCACGATAGAGAAGGCCCTGCCCCCTCTGAGCTTCCTCCCGGATCTCGGTACTCCAACTAAGCAAGTAAGAGACCAACATGGTGTGTAGGGATGAAGAAGCTCAGAGAGGTAAGGTGGGGTAAGATTGGGAAAACATTTAAAAACAAACATACACATTTTAAAAGAAACAGGCACATATCAACACAGCAACACATGTTCAGTCATTAAAATACAATTTGTATTCACAGTTAAGACTTTAAAACACTGTAAACAGAAACCCAATAAACAGATAAAAATGCATATTGGGTTGGGCGGTGAATCAGGAACTTCAGCTATAATTTCATTAACATTAACAATAAAATGCATATTAGAAGTAAATATATTGACAAATCCAGAGATGTGCAAATACATGTAAGCAGTGCTTAAAAAATGTAATGAATAAAAGCTGCCTAGCTTTTCTTTAAAATGAGAAAACTCTAATAAATATTTAGTAACAATTGCAAGCGACTCAGTTCACAGTTAAAAAGCTCTGAGACATTTTAAATATGCTGCTGTTCAACAGGAAGGACGTGTGAATCCTATTTGTGGGGTTTTCTTCTGTAGATCAGAAAACTGACCACAATAAAGACAGTGGAACCAAGTAGACAAAGTATCAGTGGGACAAATCTGCCTCCTCCTGTCTGACCTGCAGGTGAGAAACAGGTGTGAGGTGTCAGCTGTCAGGTAGGTGATGAGTGAAGAACAGAACAGAATCCATTTCCTCTTCAAACTGCTGTCAGACATTATCTACTGCACTCTGATCACATCACTCAGACCAGCTGCTTTCTACAAAGTCTCATCAACAACATCTTTAGAAACAAACATCAACAAGCAGGAAGCAGCTTCACCTCTGATCACACACACACTCAACTCTACTCACTCACCTGGAGGATCAACATGAAGGTTGATGTTGTTGATGGATTCCCACGAGCGTGTTTCTCTCATGATGATACGACACTTGTATGTTCCAGTGTCGTTAATCATCACATCCTTCACAATCAAAGACACGTTTCCATCCTTCATCTGTCTGTCCTGCAGATCCACCCGGTTCTTAAAAGATGGATGCTGCTCATCTGGATCAAACTGCTCGTCTCGGTACGTTAGGACATATTCTTCTCCCAGGTCAGCTCTGCTCCACTCTAAAACAATGATGCAGATGTCCTTGTTTGGAGCTCGACATGGCAGAATGACGTTCTGTCCAGACTTAGATGTTATGTTTTTCAGGTCTGAAAGAGGAAACAACACAAAGCAAAGAGGATGAAGTAAGTGTTCACCTCTACATCAGCCAATCACTGTGAGGATCAGGGACCACTGAGATGTATATGTTTTGATTGGCACATAAATGGAATATAAAATTTTCCATTCTAGTTTCCCTACTCTATCTCTCCTCTCTTCTACATCATTCTGGAAGAGCTTGAATCCACCTCCGGTGCACCTGGTCTTGCTTCCTTTCCATTTGGTTTGCTGCACATATATATATCTACTTTCTCTCCATCATATGAACCACCTCTCTCCCGTTACACAGTCCCTACATTAAAGTCCCTGCTCTCACCACCAAACTCCTGCTTTTCCTTCTACCTGCCATCTGGGGGCCTTTGTCTTTTAAAGAGCAAGAGAGAGTGAGAGAGCAGAAACTGAACAAATGGGAAAATGGCAAAGTTAGATGGAAAGAGAAAAAACTGTAAGGGTTTACAAATATACGGAGATAAGATAACCCTTTATTAGTCCCACACATGGGAAATTTGTTAAATAAAAAATGCAAGATAATTTAAAGATATATTTCATGGATGTTTTGTGTGCTTTCCAGTAACACCTTAAAATGCACGGGGACATTCTAAATTGAACACATTGACTGATCTGAATGGTAACAGGATTCAAAGCACTCCAAACATGGCTTGAACAGAACGGCTGCCAATGAAATCTATATCTCCAGCCCTGGAGCAGATGTACCCTGTGTTGAGTCTGCACAATAAGAGGAGGGCTTGCATGAAAACTTTACCTTAAGCTGCTCTCCTATCAGTTTGCTTCTCGTCCAGGTGTATGGAGAGGCAGTGTGATTTTTGACTGCTTGATGATATAGTGGACTGTCTCCAAGTACTTTCAAGTCATTTGTAAATGTCACAACTTCATTTTATCATGTGCCATTTGTTGTGCGCTCGTCTTATTTATATTTCTTGTACAGTAGTCGGTTAAATATCGTTGTAGATGTACAATGGGAATTAAAGTCTATTCTGTTCTATTCTCTGTAGTTAAGTGACTGAATCAATGCTGTGCATGTTTTCCCTCTTATCTGTTTCACTACAAATAATTGTTCAAAATACTTTGGAAAATTCTGAAAAACATGACTGACTGTTAACCTGTAGGTTTAATAACTAAAGGGTTCACCTTAACCTGGAAGAGAAATCTGTGAATTGGTTAATTTAATTTTAATTGTAGGCTCTGCACTTAAAGATTGATCCTAGAATCGATGATAAGTTAGTTAGATGTCAGTACATAAAAGAAAAGAATACAAAGTGGTTTAAATCAAAGGTGTAGTGAAAGGCAAGTGGTGACGCACTCTCCAAGCAACTAATATGCTGTTATACTGATATTAGATTAATCAGAGTTAGAGACAGACGTTTTCAGGGAACACTTTGTCATTTTTTAAATTTCTTACTTATTAATACTTACAGATACAGATGCATTTAACAGGTCAAGTCTCACCTGCACGGACCAAAACAAGGAGGCAGAGCCACAGCTGGGTCCAGCTGAGCAGTACAGATGTTCCAGCGGACATTTCAGATGTAATTCTGAGGCGGTGCTACAGACAACTATTCTGTCTCAGTACATGTAAGTTTTCACATAGAGCTGAAAGAGACTGAAAGTCCGTCTAGATGCGTCTTCCTCCCTCAGGATTTGACCCCTCATCTGACTTCTGTCACCACCCGGGACAAGCTGCTGACGTCCCTGCTGATCACGTGATTTTAGGCTAGGGTTGAGAAGAGTCTGGGGACACCCCGGATGGATGATCATCTGACTAAATTGGCACAAAGAATGTATTTCTTTGTGTGGAGGGGCATCCATAGCATTCCAACAGAAAGGCCATTTCCGCTGTCACATTCCCAACATTTTCCAAGTATGAGTACTCTCCGCTTGTTGTATTGATCGGGATTATCTTCTTGTTCCGAGGCTGAAAACAAACGTAAAGGTCACCGCCTACTTACTAGTTGGAGGGATGGGAGACTGCAGAATACAAGCAGCAGAAAGTGATGGGAGATTTCCAGTCCACAAAGAGTTTGTGCACTAATATACACACATGCTATATAATGTCATCCACAATGTCTTAGGCAAAGACACCATTTTTGTAGGTTTCCCTTTGTTGATCTCCGGAGAGTATTGCAAGTCAATCGATAAATATGTGATTAAGATGAAGTCTTTCAACTTTCATTTCAGGGTTTTGCATTATATCTGAATTTTGGTAGCATTTTATAATATGGCACGCAGGCTTAGGGTATAATTACCCCTAGAATTAAATGGACTTTAATTTACTGATATTTAATGAATAATATCGCACGCTGTTTTGTGTATTTTTCCACAGAACCTAATGGAGGCTTACAGCTGTATAACTGTTTCTATTCCATGCGTTGTCTTTTATCTTCTGATTTAAGCACGCTTAAAAACTCTGTTTTAAAGTATCTATATAACGTTATTATATCATGTAACTTTACTTTTATATTTTATTCATTCATTCATTCATTCATGAGTGGAACTGCTCTCAGAGCACTTCACTCTGCAGCACTGACAGTTGTGGTCACCTTATTTTCATCGATCTGTCAGTCACTGCTGGATGAAGTACTCAAACCACCAGTAATATGTCCCAGTCAAAGCATCTACATATAAGCTCCTGTTGTCTAAACCACTCTGAATCATCAGTACAAAGCTCATCCACTCTTAGTACAAACCACCCTGTTTACCACCATTCCAATCAAAAGAAAAAAGAGGAGCAAACAGAGGTAATAACTGAGTGATTATAACTGAGTTTGACGCTCACAGATCTGCACAGAGACTTTAAGGAACAAGTTCCTTTCCTCTGCAGATTTCACTCAAGTTCACAGCAGCATTCATCTGCAGAGCCCTGAATGCCTCATTTCTACACGAAGACTTTCGTGATTTCTGCTGTTGCACTGAAACAAAGAGTCTCAGTGTGCTGATGACAGTATCTCTATACAGAGTAGAGCTTCTGTTCCATTTCCAGACCTAGTGGTTATGAAATCACAGTCGACTAAAATAAGAACCAGCGATTTGGCGGATTCAGTTAGCCTTGTGCAGAGCTAACCGAAGTCTCTCTCTCTCTCTCTCTCTCTCTCTCTCTCTACACATATATATATATATATATGCATACATACACATGTATATATACACATACAAATGTATATATACACATACACATGTATATATACACATACACATGTATATATAAAAACACCCAGCACGCCCCTGCGGGCGGTTTATCCTTCAAGCTCGGGTCCTCTACCAGAGGCCTGGGAGCTTGAGGGTCCTGCGCAGTATCTTAGCTGTTCCCAGGACTGCGCTCTTCTGGACAGAGATCTCCGATGTTGTTCCCGGGATCTGCTGGAGCCACTCGCCTAGCTTGGGAGTCACCGCACCTAGTGCTCCGATTACCACGGGGACCACCGTTACCTTCATCCTCCACATCCTCTCGAGCTCTTCTCTGAGCCCTTGGTATTTCTCCAGCTTCTCGTGTTCCTTCTTCCTGATATTGCTGTCATTCGGAACCGCTACATCGATCACTACGGCCGTCTTCTTCTGTTTGTCTACCACCACTATGTCCGGTTGGTTAGCCACCACCATTTTGTCCGTCTGTATCTGGAAGTCCCACGGGATCTTAGCTCGGTCATTCTCCACCACCCTTGGGGGCATCTCCCATTTTGACCTCGGGACTTCCAGGTTATACTCGGCACAGATGTTCCTGTACACTATGCCGGCCACTTGGTTATGGCGTTCCATGTATGCCTTGCCTGCTAGCATCTTGCACCCTGCTGTTATGTGGTGGATTGTCTCTGGGGCATCTTTACACAGCCTGCACCTGGGGTCTTGCCTGGTGTGATAGACCCCAGCCTCTATGGATCTTGTGCTCAGAGCTTGTTCTTGTGCTGCCATGATTAGTGCCTCTGTGCTGTCTTTCAGTCCAGCTTTGTCCAGCCACTGGTAGGATTTCTGGATATCAGCCACCTCCTCTATCTGCCGGTGGTACATACCGTGCAGGGGCCTGTCCTTCCATGATGGTTCCTCGTCTCCCTCCTCTTTCTTAGGTTTCTGCTGCCTGAGGTATTCACTGAGCACTCGGTCAGGGGCGTGCTGGGTGTTTTTTTTTTTTTTAATATATATATATATATATATATATATGTTTTTCCCTATGTTATTACTGTCCATATGTACATAGCGATGCAGAACTGTACCCCCCCAGCATGTTTACACTGAGTAGGAGATGCTCTGTATCTCATTGTACAACTGTATAGTGACAAGAAAGGCATTCTATTCTATTCTAAAACCCTGCACTCACTTCTTAATTACCTGGAAGCACCTTAAAGACGACCGGTGTTCCAGATCAACTGGCGTTTAGATCAACTGGCGTTGGTCGAACAGATGTGTGGCAGTCTTGCGTTTCAGTAGCTCCTACCGACAAACCAGCAAAAAAACGCCAAATGTGTCATCTGTGACACTTGTGAGGTTATCTCAAACACACTCCGTCAGTCTTGATGCTGTTGAACAACAAAATGTTTAAAAATGTGTACCTGGTGATATCCTCATGCGCGACGCGATCGCGAAAACAGCAAACAAGTAACACCACGCCGTTGTTGTTCACAGGACAGCAAGAGTAAACGATCGGGAGACCCTTGTCGTCGTTATCGTTCCACTCGCACGGTTTATTTCACCGAATTCAGCGTTTTTGCTCCACAACTAAAGCGAGCAGTTTGCTCTGTGCACTAACATGGAGTCGAGTCAACCAGCGCCACCTCTGGCCAAGTGCCACAGCCTACAGCCAGATCAACTGGTGACACACATCTGCAGCACGTTTGAATTCGTGTCATGCACATTTGTACCTTTCAATTGTGTGTTTGTGCGCCATGCAAATAAACCTTTGAAATGAATGAAATGATATCATGTATTTATTATCAGCCTACATTTGTACAAAATGCCAAATGACATACACATAGTCATAAGAATCACCATCCTGATATCAACACTTTTGCCCATAAGAAAAATGTCGTGAACAAATATATGACACACCAATATTTCACCAGTGTTGTAACTCACATGTCGCCAGCATAGTCTGCCTGTGTCTCCCCTCTGCAAACGAACATTTCAGAGTTGGATGTGATATACAGTCTGCATAAGTGTGGTCAATCTCACAACGATCCGTAAGGGGATGGCAGCTACGCTGAATGTACAGCAGTCACACAGTGATCAGCAATAAACAGTCCCCACACTTGCATATAATCCCCAATGTGGAGCCCATCTACTGACTACCACATAGCAGCTGGACCAGTCCCCAATGCAGGTCAGTCCACTGCTGCCACCTGTGGCCAAGTACCATAGCCTACCACTAGATTAACTTGTGACACACATCTGCACCTGCTGCTATGATCACATTGAGTAAAGGCTGAGTGGCTGCACTCACACGTGGTGCATCTAAATCTACCCACAAATATGTTGAAACATGCAATGCCAGCAATGTGGATTGTCAACACTACAAACAATCAGTAAGCAAAGACTACACGGGTCAATTCCTTCTGTCCATCATCCAGCCAGATATACGTATGACACACATCTGCAGCTGGTCCCATCACCACGTTTGAATATGTTACCTGCACAACACATTTGTAATTGTCAATGTTGTCTTTGCTGTCCCATAAACCATGCAACCACATGAAACACAATTGTGTATCCATTTAAATCCCATCATATACATGAAGTTGTAGACATCACAACTCCTTCTGTTTATGTTATTACCCAACAACAATATGCACTCCACACATAGATCACATAGAAATATGTCATCAGTGTGCTCACAACACACCTTGTCAGAATAGGCTGCCTATGTCTCTACTGTGATTCTGTATATTTCAATTGTGCAACTGGAGTCACATGAGGCAACCGTGTGGTGTTTGCTAGGAACACTGGTAGCCAATATAGGTGATTAAGCAGCACAGCTGGAAGGAATTGGTAGTCATATGCAGTCTATATAAGCCCAGTGAGTACAACCAACATTTCGTGAGGTGGTAGCAGTCAGTGAATTTACAGCAGTTAGATAGTGATTAGAAGGCAACTATAGCCAGTGTGGTTGGGAAGAGTTTGTGAGAGAGTGGACTCCTGAAAGTGAGTGAGTGAGGTGTGCCAGTTGGTTTGTGTGGTGTGTCTTTGAGTCTGTGTGTTTGTGGTACAGTGGAGTGGGTAGATAGGTGGACAGGTGTAGGTGAGGGAAATGGATCCCAAAATTGTGAGGGAGCTTCTGGAGTTCAAACTCCACAATCGCTATCCTGAAGGATCAACCAGCAGGGAAAGATATACAATCAAGAGAAGAGCTGAGACCTTCAGGATAAATGGTGAGTACAATGGATAATGTCATGTAAACCATCAGAGTGTAGCATTGTGCGTCAATGTGAACATTCCCTCTTGTCTGTTTGTTCTTGTCTCGCCCCACATGCCCAATGGAGATGGAGACCTGTACTATGTATGCAGGCAGAAGAAGAAGAACAGAACGGAGAACCTGGCAAAAGTGGTCTGCACTGCCAAGGAGGCAAATGACATTTTTGAGGAATTTCATTTCAGCCACTTTGGTGGACACTGTGGATGGGAGAAGACCCACTGTGCCATCATGGCACGCTATTACTGGCC